ATTGGGTGATGGACATACTCGAATAACCTTCAAGGAACGATGCCTTTGATCTGCATTGTTTGTTTTGTATAGAACCCAACTGATGCCCACGAAGAAGCAATGAAGAAGTTTATAAAGGTCCGTAGATACCGCCGCCGATGTAAGTAGGACCTCCCGGTATGTGCTCCTGCCTCTGTAGCCCCATAGTAGCTAAATGCAGACTTTATAGAACTTGGTTGTTCCGTTGTCGAGGACCGCCGAACCTGCGATGTCCCGAACGATAACACGTTCAATTCCTAACCAGCTGGCCTATGATGCCATCTTACCTCAGCATTCTCCTCAACACAGGAACTGCATGGAGATCAATTAGCGTGCTGTTCTTTAGCGTGTTCCTTCACGAATAGGACACTGTTTTGTAGTGTCATACATACGTTTAATACGAGTGGTCCATTTCGTGCGTTGCTCGTCATGCATCAGTGTACACCCTAACTAACGCTTCCACTTTCTCTCTGCAGTATCGCGGTCTCGTCGCATTCTACTACACAGCTTGGACCTAAGCACGTGGGTGCATCAAGGAGGCTCAATTTGCTATACAAATACGACTTCCCGACTCCATCGCCGTCCATCGCAATGCCGAACCTAGTCAAACCCGCCATGCAAACGGAGCCTTCATTATCGATCCTACAAATCTGATGCATAATGCGCTCGCTTTGTGCATTCCAAACGAGCTCCTTAAGGCTCCATCTCGTGGTCCATGTTGACCATCAGGCTGAGGTTGCCTCGAGTTCCCCTCCAGCATCTTATCGCACAGAGCTTGCTGAAACAGTTTCGGCTCCGGTGGCTGCAAGTTGTTGGTCCTGACTAGCTTATACTATATTATATCGTCTTCGGCACGACATATCATATCGTGTTGTTACGAACCTCGACGCAATTTCCTGTACGCGGTAACAGGCGAATATCCTCCCGACGCATGTATTCTCCTGCAATTCTGCTCGGGATACCACGGACATCATGCACATTGCTGTATTCGGCCTCGCTTCAGGAATAGGAACAGTTGATATGCAGGATCTCCTCGTCTAATCGCGAACACGAGCATACCTACGGTCGAGAGACGACGTACTTTATCGCTGTCACGGCCGACTATTTCCTCTCAGGCGTCACAGGAAGCTCCTTTGCGATGGTTCAAGCTCGCTGTCAAGCCGACAAATGCGTGCTGACAATTGAACATACCCATGTACCCTACCAGTCGCTCCTATCAGCCCTAGGTCGATGATACGTAATCAGCAAAGCCTTCGCATTTGGTCCATTCTGCGACATTAGCTTATACTCAGAGTTAGCTATAGTGCGCAACATCAATGCTGATCAAGCTCAGAGATGATGTCTTCAAGGCCTTCGAGACCAGCCGATCCATCAACGTCATCTTCATGCCTATGTCATCTTATCGAACTTTCACGTCCCACGATACTCCACCATCTTTGTCGGCATTGTACTGGCGCGATATGGATCTATTGCAACCGACTACCGTCTCCATATGGCTTCCACGACCTCACATACAACGACCCTGACTGACCTCTCTCAAAGCAACGACACATCGATGCTTCAAGCTGTCCAGCGGTCTCGGCTTCCAATCGCTTCTTTCGTCCCAGCTCTAGTCAAACCAAAGCTTGAAGCTCTCTCATCTCAACGATCCATTTAGACACCAAACGACCTCTAAGCTGTGGATCGTAACCGGCCAGTCAGGATGCTGTTCTTTTGGTGGGCCTAGAATTGCACATGGTCGATCATTCAATTCATACATACATTCACGTCGTCTTCCAGAGGAGTCCGTGCAGCCGTCAACCTCTGTCAGCAGTTCGAGTTTCCGCCAAATAGGTTTGGGGGCCTCCCTTTGGCCCTTCACCGGGCGCTTGCGGTGTCCGGCGGCCCGGTGCTTCCCGAAAAGGGAAACTGGGCTAGAATCGAATCAAATTCCTTCAAGTTTCATCAGTATCATATGCACCTTTTCAGTTCAGCTGTAGTGACAGAATGAACCGTCGGGGAGCTTGTTGTCACGGCGGCTTCAATTCTCTATCGAGCCATGGATTTCGTTCGTGATGGTTCAAATGACTGCTAGTGTTGACCGGCGAATTACGAGTCTACCTATCACATTTATACACCGCTTATTCGATGTCCACGCCGCCGCCGCCTCATCTTTTCATCGACTTTGGCTTCTGGTTGGACAACGACGTGGATACAATTCATCTATGGTGTTATAATCGCGGCAGGAATGGAACATAGCTCCTTGATGTGTCGACTCCTCGTCAGTAACATCTGCGTCACATCAGATCAAGCTTCGTCTTCGGCGCAATGTACATTCAACCGCAGCTTATTCCATCGTCTTCCGAACTACTATCAGATACTCAGCTTTCTCATCGACGACATCTTCACCCACAGCAAAACTTATATTCCTCAAACTCTCCATATCCGAAGAAACTCTTCGAAACCCCTTGCTCACGAATATTCCCTGAACCTTCTTCAGTACTCCAGCTCGTAATATCATCTGTAACGCAAATAAACAGTACTTACGGAGAGCGAGATGGGAGTAGTGGAAACGTGATAGAGCTAGATTGCCTAATAGATCATGAGTTAATAAACTTCTCTCCATCCATAACGCCATAATACTGAACCGATCATATCGCCCATTATGTATAAATTTGAAAAGCCACTAGTAGTACCCCATAAACCACAGAGTTCGCCCTCTCAGGTTCTGTCGAGCCCATACGGGCTTCCGCTTATTTCCTAGGAAATCAGTCTTCCGGCGTGACTTGGTGTTGGTGTTGATGTTTAGGGAAGGGATGGACGGCATTGATGCTCCTGAGGAAAAAAAGGACGGTAGATGTGATTAACTACTTGTGGTAACCGTTCGGTCAGGGTGGGCGCTTGACCGAGAGGTTGACGCTCGAACCGAAAGATTCCTTGGTCTTAATAGTCAATTAAAAGACGAATATATGCAAATATTTAGACTGATATTGGAAGGAAATAAGTAGACAATATTATATGGGTAGGTAAATTGATTGGCATTTTCTGTCTTATCCCCGTGTTCAGGCTGAATGACGCGTACGTGCGAGGTCCTCACTCACACTCCTGTAACTAGCTTGGCTTGGCTTCTATAGTTGTAGATTCACCTAGTAGACTCTATTCAGTGCTCAGGTCGCTATATTCAATATGAGGCTTCACACTCTTATATATATTCTAGCATACACCCAATTGCCACATTATTAGTACTCAACCCTCCACTGTGTAGCTACTACTATTAGTCGACAACCTTGAGTTCGTTCTCGAATATTTGAGCTAACGTCGCAAAAGCATATGAACATTTCACTGATATTACTTCAAATTGCCTCAGGTTACCCATATGACGAAACATGTCATCGCGAACGATTCGACCACCATATAGCCAGGGGACCTAGTATCCAACGTTATCTCGCAGCATCGCCATACAGCTAGAATATTACTCTTTTCGAAGTACGAACCTTGATAAACCACAAATTAGTTACCTTAAAGAGTATAGCATACACAGGGAGGAGCCATCAGCACGCACGGTATAAATTCGAAGAAAAGGAGACGCGTCACCTAGGTTGACGCGTCCTCTTCAATCCTAACCATGAACTCCTTCGTCTCTCGCTATACTTCGAACGCAGAACTCACCAGTCTCGAGACTGACGGATTGGAAAGTGAGGTATCCAGTAACTCTTGGGGCTCCGCCGCAGGCTTTGGGAACCTTGATGCTAGAGGTCTCCAGCACTTCGACGTGCCCTCGGTACAAGAGGTCTGTATCGCCACTAAATAATTCCTACAATCACTGACTACACGTTATATTTTATAGCCTACTGAATTCCTTAAATTGCATACCGACGATCACGCTGACCCATCGTGCAAAATAAAGATCAAGCACGGGACTACGACGCTCGCCTTTCGGTTCCAAGGCGGCATAATCGTCGCGGTCGATTCTCGCGCATCTATGGGGTCGTTTATAGGTATGCGTGCTTCCATATCCTTCACCCTTTAGACTCTTTGTAATGAGTTTTTTTTTTTCAGCATCCGGCACCGTTAAGAAGGTTATTGAAATCAACAAACAATTACTGGGTACGATGGCAGGTGGTGCCGGTAAGTCATCCCTAGACTTTTAATGGGGATAACATTGTGTTGATGATAACTAAATGAATTGCAAGCTGACTGTCAATATTGGGAGACGTACTTGGGTATGCATTGTCGTCTCCATGAGTTACGAAACGGTGAAAGGATCTCCGTGGCTGCTGCCAGTAAATACCTGAGCAACCTCGTGTATAGCTACAAGGGTATGGGTCTCAGTATGGTAAGCAACTCGCTATCGCTTTCTCATGCATATCACAACGACTGAGTTCTATTGATAGGGAACTATGATATGCGGCTGGGATAAAACTGTAAGTCAAGTTATCTACTGTTCAGACTTTTTGGTAACTAACTTCATGTCATTCAGGGATCAGCTCTATATTACGTCGACGCAGACGGAACCCGGCTCAAGGGCGATATTTTCTCGGTTGGATCTGGTAGCACCTTCGCCTATGGCGTGTTGGATCAAGGCTATCGCTGGGATCTCACCGATGAAGAGGCACAAGACTTAGGAAGACATAGCATATATGCAGCTGGTCACCGTGATGCGTATTCGGGAAACTCGTGCAATCTTTATCAGGTTAAGGAAGATGGATGGGAATTTATTGGTATGTTTCAGCTTATTTGATTATTATTATTAGCTTATCCGATGTCTTTAGGTAATTATGATTTGTCGAAGCTGCATTTTGAGGGGCCTGGAGGTGAAATGAGCAAGGGTTATGGATATGAAGAGAGGATAAGGAGATCAAACAGAAGTGTTTGAACAGGCCATCTATTCTCATTCTGAATTATGTAGTGAAATATATTTATTTATAAAGGCCAAAAATACTGCAACTAATATATATATATATACGTGCTAAAATATTTCAGTTGAACTTGACCAAGAAAGATGCATTAAGCAAGAATCGAACTCGCGGCTAGTCGACAGCAACGACTAAGATTACCACCAGCCCACTAATACATTGAGACAAAAGAGAGTCCATGTCGTACAGAAGGGGGTTACTTATACATCAGACATGGGAGACCGCAATGAAAGCTTGCGTCGGCTGACTATGCCAACGCCGTGAATCTAATCGAGGCCTGACAGTAACAGATTTTACCCCAGTGTTTTTAATATACAATCACACATCGCATGATATAGAGCTTCAGCTTTCTTTTTGCACATAAGTCAACTCAAGGTGGCAGGTTTCGCAATCACTGTTAACCGGAGTCTTTTCGGATGGCTGGTGTGCCACCCTGTATACTAAAGTTAGGTTGAACAAAACCGAAGAAAAACAATTGAAAATATTAGATTGAAAAGCGCAATTATCGCAATGCGAAAGACTGGGGGAGTATTTTAATAAAATTCAAAGGTAGATTATTAATATTCGCAGTCGATGTCCGAGTAATAGAGACTTTGCGCAAAAGCCGTAGCGCCACTTGCGGCTGTTATAATGAAGTGCAATTTTTGGCTTTATATATATAGAGAGAAATTAAATATGGCGGCCATGTCGTGGCTCCACTTTAAGCACTGTGGCGGCTTCTGTGCGGTTTCGATATAGGGCTTTATTAGACAGAAGCCGCCCCAAAGCCCCACACAACGATAAAAAAGCCGCTAATTGCACAATGTTATAAAGCCGCCAGGTGGCGCTGCGGCTTTTGCACAAAGATAAGAAGGCGATGGATGAACCTTCACCTTGCCAGACTGTGCCTCTGGATTCCACGGCTTGTTTTATCCTACTGCTCGGATAGAACACCTTCTCATGGTATTGTTAACACAAGGAGGGACTTGGTGTCAGAATCATCCCAAGTGGCAAGATGGAAGCTATCAACTGAATGCAAACAAGGCTTTATGCATGGAGTAAGGACATCCGGACAGATTACTGTTAAAGTGCCGAAACTTTCCCATGAAGCCGATTCTAAATGCCATACTTGGCAATGGCCTTCTGTGCATCTGCCAATGACAGAAGTTTGTCCCTGTCTACCTCCAGACTCTTCGTGTCTTCATTATTCCCAGTCCACCTTAAATTTCACATATGGCGTATAATTGCTTCCACTTCCTTTTTCACCTTCAATGACAGGCTTTAAATAGCACTTCTTATTTTCCTACGGAGGTAGGTCCGTGTAGAAAATACTAAATTCTTATCTTCAAGGTTCTTATAATTGATAGCATGTTTAAGAGCAAATGCACGGATCTTCGCGTTCCGATAGGACATAGTTCGGGTGAAGGAAAATATATAACGAAACCTACCAATATTATCACCAGCAGCTATTATTCATGCTTACAATATGTCTCAACCCTCACTCAGTAACATCTCTGAAGAACGCAAGGAGGAGTCCATCGATACAGAACAGATCCTAATAAACGTCATGCCCTCTGAGGTAGCTGTGAATTCATGTTATCCAGTGTATCCTATGGGTTCAACTCGAGCATGGTATACTGGTAAGATCACCGTAAACTTACATTATCGTCCACGCTACAGCTGACTATTTACCAGTTGCTGGATGTTTCTTGCTGCAACTCTGCTCCTTTGGAATCGTAAGTAAAATACCCCTTGACTTGGCTGCATCTGGTCAGTAAATAATCCCTAAAGGTTACTTCAGTTGGAGTCTTTCAAGAATTCTATATCAATACATGGTTGAATCATTTCACTCCGTCGGAAATCGGGTGGATTGCGGGTATGACATTATCATTCACGTTTAGTCTAGGGGTCATCGGTGGAAAGCTGTCAGTTTTAGCCACTTTTCGTTTTGGCTTCACTTATTCCTTCAATAGGTATGATGCCGGATATGGTAGAGTCACTTTAATCGGAGGGTCGATCCTATTTTCCTTCAGGCAAGTTGATCTTTATGTTCAGATCCAAAATGTGTTGACGCCTGCTTAGCCTATTCACGCTTTCTTTGACGCAACGAAATAAATATTATCAAGTAAATACCTATCTCTATGATATTTTAAATCTGTAATCTATTCCTCATTATAGGTATTTCTTTCACATGCACTCGGAATTGGGTTTGGATCCTCACTGATTCTCACTCCGACAACCATTGTGGTTGCTCATCACTTTCAATCCCGCAAGGCAGTACCTTTAGTAAATGTTTTTGCAATAATTTCCTCTCAAGATAGTCCGATGAAATGATGAAGGGAATATTGAGTGCCAGTGGCTCCCTTGGCGTAATTATTTATTCAAGTATGTTTCTGCATTTTGTTCATATATATTGCTGAGCCGGTTACCTCTCACTGTTCGCAGTCATGCTAAACCAACTCATCCACTTTAAAACTGCATCAGGAAACTTGGTAAAAACCGGCGCCTAATGGCTCGGTAACGAATTTTGGTTATTCCTATGGAACGACACCGGGATATCCTACTTTTTTTTTTGAGAACCTGGTTCATATGATCTGTTAACCTCTCATGACAAATAACTAGGGCCACCTATACAGTCTGCAACGATACATTGCCTGTGCAAACTTTGCTATGGAAATGTACATAAACTATAGTCAGCTATAAATGACTATGCTAGCAATTATAGTTTATGTACATTTCCATAGCAAAATTTGCATGGGCAATATCTCGACACAGACTATATAGGTGGCCCCAGTTATTTGTCATGAGAGGGTGACAGATCATATGAACCAGGTTCTCAAAAAAAAAAAAATAGGATATCCTTGTGTCGTTCCATAGGAATAACCATAATTCGTTACCGAGCCATTAGGCGCCAGTTTTTACCAAGTTTCCTGATGTGGATTTCCTTGGGCAATTCGCATAACGGCGTTTATCAGTACTGGTGGCTTCATCCTAGGAAATATTTTAATAAGCGTTCCTCCCCTTTCACCAAAGCCTCAGGAGTCAAAGTCCTCCAGTTACAGAGAATATATGAATTGGCCTTTAGTCCTCACTATGATAGGGAGCGGCTTCCTTGCGCAGCTGGGATTATTTTTCCCTCTATCATATGGACAATTATTTGCCCTGCGTCATGGAATTTCTCCACAAGTAGCCTTCTATTCAATCGCGATGAATGAATTCGCTGGAATTTTTGGGAAAATATTCCCAAATTATTTATCAGATCTGTATGGTCCCGTCAATGTGATGATTGCATGCCTTACATGTGCAGGTATACACAATTACATTTATTCAAGTTAGTATATTATCTCATAAATCTCCAGGAATCATGGGAATTGCATTGATAGGATGCGGTAACCTTGTTGGATTCATTGTATTCTGTCTTCTGTAAGTTCTTACTCTTACCTTAGCTCTAAATTGTTACTCTAACTTACCCACTCTAAACTAATAGATATGGATTCTTCACTGAATCATGTAAGGGTATTTATGTTCGAAGCACTCCTGTTTTAATCGCTGTGTTTATTAGGCATCTCTCTCTACCAGTTAACCATTCTGACAATGGCTCCACGGCAAGCTGACCTGGGGTATGTATATACCCAAAACCTGTCCAGCTTGAACGACGCTTACATCGTATTCAGGAAGGCTTTGGGGATTTCATCGATTCCCGTAGGACTATCTTCTGTTCTTGCTAACCCGGCCCTCGGTGCAATCCTAGGCAATAGGATACTGGTTTGGTGGAAGGGGGTTACTTTTTCTGCGGTGCGTCATATACTTTGATTTTTATAACGGGGAATATGTATTGATATTTCTGTAGACCTGTATCTTCTCTGGGATTTTTATACAGCTTATCGGGCGTTATATATATCTTAGAAATACCAGAAAGTCCGGTGATCAAACACGTGGAAGCTTTAAAAGTGAAGTGCGCCGCCATTGACATTCTGGTATCAATTCGGGGACGGTTAAATTGAGATCCCCAAATGTCTATACGTGTTGTATAAGTACTCGTGTGATTTGCACGAACAGTCACATTAAAGTTTAACTCCAATACTCACTCTTATTGAATCCAAGTGCTTCAATTTAATATCTGAGCGGTTTGAGTTACCATTAGTTATGGACACTGGAGCAGATACCGGCAAATCCTGAGGCTGACCTAACACAGCTGAAACTATGGAGACCTTGATAATTATGTTCATACTTAATTACAAGTTTCACCCATAAGTAAACCCATCAAGTTTGACCCTAAGGTATTTATTTGAACATCAGATATTCCCTTGTCTGTAATAGACAGCGTTTCGTTGGAAGATGTTTTGTCGCCAACTGCTCGGGAGGTTTCGTCAGCTGACACGTTAGCAAGGCCAGGAGTTCGGGACACGTTCCCCTTATGGACCTAAGCCCACTCTTGCCCGCGAACGTGACCTGGCCTTGCCCCTCTTCAAGTTTGCAATCTGATAAGCTCTGCACCGTCGCGTTTTCCATTTGACTTATCCACCCAGAACACATTGCAGACGATTAGAACACCTTCGAAGCAATATAAGTATAATTTACTCAGGGTCAGCATCCTTCAATGAGGCCAAATGGAGAATTGTCAATGAAGGTGTGCTCACCGCTTTAGTCGACTTTATACCAACCTCTAAATATCATTCTGTTTATCAGTGTCTTTAAACTTATTCGAGGTCCAGGTAATGATATTCGATTGTGTATACCTATTCTTGTCAGACAATGTCAGTGGCAGATCTCATTATCCAAGGTGTCCCTAATTACTTTCTCCGTCTGTCCCATGGGACTTGCACAGATCCACTGTGAATCAGCCAACGTTATTAATAGTTTGTTATCACATTGCGTAAATCCAGGCAACGGTTATCAGACTCCATGAAAGCCCGTCGTCATTTAGGGCTCACTAACCCGCGGTCGCACAAGATGACAGGACCATGGTATATTCGTTGAGGAACAAGGACGAGGCTAGGTACTTGGGGTATAGGTAGAACGGTTGGTAATTATATAATATAACGTAATTGCTATAATATGAAGAGGTCCCAACGTGACAAGAGTCCATGGTGAGTAAGACTAGTTGGCCAGGCTTACACTCCAGCAGCCAAGCCGAAGAATCTGGAAATCAGTTCTTCGTTGAGCTTTCAAATGACAG